TACCAATGCCAGGATTACACACATTGGGTTGATCCTCCCCACTGAAGCCAATGAATCGTGTGTGGAGCATACATAAACACAACTGGTACGGCCAGCACTGGTGTTACTAGGACTCACTATTTAGTACATAGACAGCACTCACCGAGGGGGGCCATTTTGTTAAAGGGACGTCACCCGTCCATAAGTTCAATTCTCCCGACAAATGTCAACCAAAATAGCACCTTGGGCAGTCCCAGGTCTTCAACATGTAATCAAATTGTGAGGGTTAATTATAGTAGGAATGCGGTGTGCGGCCAAACTGATCCTGATCCCAGATACAAAACTGGGGACGTCTTTTGAGACACAGAGTTTTGCACAAAACAGAGTCTAAAATGAGGCGTGAAAGCAACAATGTAGAAGAATGCAGGGGAAAATGCCTTTACTCGGGAAAATGGCCAACATTATCAATTGGTCAAGCTTGGTCTGATATTCAGCGAAACTTGTAAATATCCGTCTCTGACGCACTTCTTTCCGGAACTACAAGATGAAAACTGTTTTGAGGATATTTTGTCTCGCTGAACATTTGTTATATATCGTCTGGTAACAAGAAGTGACCCAAGTAATAATTTAGAGCAGCGGGTCGAAAATTGACTGTGAACCGGGGGCCAAGTTTCTAAATAGTATACACAATCAATGTGGACAGTCTAAACAGTTTAAAGGTCTAGGATACAGGGGATCTTAACGAATACAACACCGTTAGCTAAAGACATCCAATGTGAGCCATTCTACCTAATCTCCAAGCAGATGTTACTTAAATGTCAATTTTTCATCCCAACATCTGCTTGAGATATGCTTTGCCCACCCCTAGCCCCCCACAAACATGAGGTCCCAAGCTAAATCTTGTAAGAATTTCACCACATGTGTTTGAAAAGGAATTCTCTACAAGACCGCAAAGACGCTTGATCTTAGAGTGATCTTAATCCTTAAGAAAAGAAAATTAGGGGAAGGAATCTTCCAGACGTGGGTATAATTAAATGGGGAGCAGACGGAAGGAGAGTACCCGGCACTGTGCCTCATACATACCCACCCACACTGAAGACGTATCCTGTGCAAAACACAAAATTTCGCCCTCAAAAACTCGCACAAATCGCCCAAAAATACAAGTATCAACCCCTCACAGATGGTTGATCTCTCTCAGAATATGTTACACATATACTTACGGAGGTATCTGAACCTTACAACCAAGACTGGAGTCGTATTTTCCTCAAGAAAATCGTCGTTTTCTTGAAGACACTCCTGCATATGTAAAATTGTAAGCCTGTTGGTGGGGCAGGGCTAGGCTAACGACGGATACAAGTCGGGCGAGAAAAAAAATTCCGACTGCCACACTTACGGTTTCTCCGGGTTTCGTGTCACTTGGGTAGCCCAGGCCTTTTCTTTGGATCTTGATGAAAATTTCCCGAGCCTTGATGTGTTGGGTTGCCGTGGAAAAGGGTTAAAATACGAGGATTACACAACTGCTAGTGCTAGTAGTCCAGACCTATCGCCATTTTTACCTGGCCGTTCCGACTGGTAATAAGCCAGTTCATAGAAGCTAGCCCCACATTCGTGTCATAATTCCGTGGTGTTCAAGATTGAAAATAAGACAACATTTTCAAGTCACATTACAATTTAGGCCACACAATTCATTTTTCTATGATTATATAGATATCAATAGGATCTCAGTAAGACTTAATGTTCGTAGAATATGAATTACAGACGTTATCAAGGTTAGTACGCGAATGTGCTGCTATAACGGGACGAAACGTATAAGCTGGTTCACCATGTAGGTGTTCCATGTAGCGGACACCCTCCCTCCGCGCTCTTCACGTGTTGTCTACGTCATCAGGTGTTGGGTCACACTTCTTCCGGCTAAGTTCACGCAGGAAATGGAAAGAATGTCTCATAAGGGACATCCAAAAGACTATTGTTACCTGAACATCTCTCTCAAAACATTCGTATTGACATTGTTCCTGGTAAAGTTCCAGTCATATTTCTGTTAATACTGTATCCGGATATCCCATCATTTTCTGATAACCTTATGATCAGTCCAGGTGATTGTTCAATCTTCAAAGATAAAAATAGACACGTTATGTTGAACCATGGCAAAACGTGTAAAAATAGCCTAGATCCGGCTCCATTCAGGCGGTTCCATGAAGAAAAAGATCGCTCCGTTCAGATATTTTGACAGATATTCGGGTTTTTTATTTCTCATATTCAATAAACGCTGCCATGTATGTAAAATTGGGAATCATAGCAATGACATTATTGTGTTTGGCAATACCATTATAACACTCAACATCTTGTGGTTAGACACGGTTTTACACATGACTAACTTGGCGCTAAGAACATTTCATGGCACAGTGCGCACATCGAGGGCCATCGAGCTTCCTTCTTTCCGCACCAAAACCACACAAACAATTCTCGTCTGTCGAAAGGAAGACTTCCAAGAAGCTGCATCTTCAGATTTCACTTGAGTCATTCGTGATGTCACTAAAAGGCTTTCCCCTTCTTCCCATGCACTCATAAAATGTTAAGTAACATCCGGGAAGAGATGGTTGTTATTATTATTATTATTATTATTATTATAACGATAATACCTTAGATTCTCGCTGAATGGAAAAAAGGGACTCATCAAATAACGAGCGTTTATACGAACATCCAATGCAATTTCAGGGCGGAAAAAAATTCCGTCAGTGACATTGCATTTTTGTCTCACAGATATCAGTATGCCACGGGATAAGACTGACCAGAAAATTGACGGAAAATCCAGTTTTGCCGCCCTGAAATTGCATTGAATGCCTTCTCAACGTTCGGTATTTCATGACTGAAGTGAGTTACTTTTAAAAAGAACATAGGGACACATGAAAGCTCCTTGGTCGTAGCAATAACTGAATTTGATTGTTTACAGAACATAGTAGACACTTTTTACACAGTATACAAAAGAGAACAGGAAATACTATTAGCCGACTGCAAAGACGGCGGAACATACACCTCCGCAACTACAGTCAAAAATAGAAAGTGTCACGTTAACTTCAGCTCTTCCGGCTCATTTCTCCGTCAAACTTCATATTTCTGACTCAGGGCAAGTTTGTGGGGGATGTTGTTATGATAGGTGATTGCTCTCATGCGAAAGTCAGTCGAGTGTGTCCCTTCATGTCCTTCTAGGATTCTGAGCTTCTAGATCTGGTCTAGGGACATCAGTCAGTCAGATCAGAGACATGTCCTTGGTCAGATAAAGGCGTGAAAATTTCCCTCCTAACATCTGCTTGGTCAGGGTATGCCTGGTGTTAGGGTGCGTCAGCTGATATTTTGAAGGATTGCAAGTTGTTGTTTGTTTCTTTTTCGAAAGTGGCGCCGACGCTCAGAAATGTGTATCTTTGAACATTTTTTACCGTAAGATTTCGTCCACGACAGTTCTGAGGAAAATTGATCGCTAGAGGGCGCTTCAGCACAGCGCCACATACAGTAGAACAGTGAGGAATTTCCCTTTGGGAGTTGGCGCAGATTTACATGTGAAAGGCAAATGTCTGTTCGGGTAATTATCTTGAAAATACAAAAAGCTTCTTCTGTCTCACCGTAAAAAGAAAATTGCGACAAGAAAAAAGAAAATATCGAGTCTGCCAGGATTCGAACCTGGAATCTTCTGATCCGTAGTCAGACGCGTTATCCGTTGCGCCACAGACCCGCATGCCTCGCTGTGTCGGAATTTACGAATAAGTACTATTGTTACATTCCAGGAGTACAAAAGACCCTCGGGTAAAATTTCATGGTTCGCCTTTTCGTGTCAATCATTGTCGAGCTTTCGGCCGGTGAACACGAAGGGCCAAACAAGAATCTGACTGCTGTTATGCCGCCTTGTTTGTGTAAATCTTCACGGCCTCTTGCTGCATATTTAACGCGAACCAGTAAAGTTGCAGGGCGAGGTTCCTGAGGTACATCGATAATGACCGATTGTGCATTTGACCGGATTTGGCCAGATTTGACGTCTCTCTAGGCGGCTAATTATACCCAAATGGAACACGGAATCTTCCTGCAGTTTCGAAATTTGTTAACCTTCAAAATCTGGCATCATACATGGGGCAGATATGTGATGGACAGCAATAACGGTCGTCATAATTTACAACGCCCCAGATTCGACTACCAAGTAGTACATGTATCCTGCTATCCTCTGTACACGGTCTCACAGCGACACCTAGCACGCAAAATAGCACTGCAGTATAGAGGGCGCACACTCTTCTGCAGTACTGATTAAGGCAACAGTCGTCGCTGTGAGACCGTCTGTATGAATACTCCCAAAATCATTGAAAGTAACAGCCAATCATGATTTACACCATCCCTCACTTTTGACTATCACCATTCTTCGCGATGATAAATTATGTTGATGAATTAAAATAGAGACTTACGTCCTAGGATATGTGATGATTAACGGGGGGTGCCCTAATTCCGACCCATCCCTAATACCGAACTAGTTTGAAAAATCCTTGTTGCGGCGTTATGCATGGGAGCACGTGCCTAAAAATAATCACAAGAATGGACTATGTTTTTGTGTTGATATCGGCAATATCACAAAGTTTGTTTTAGTTCCTACACTCCGACAACAGACGAGTGAAAAATCTGTGTGAATTCGACGCTTTTTCGGGGGTTGACGAGCGTGTCAAAAATGCGGGTTTTGCTTTTCAAACAGCCACTTTGGAGCAAGTCGCGTAATCGTAAAAAGAGGACTTCTTTGGGACAGAAAACATTTGTAGATTGTTTTAGTCATAATTTGTGTATTATTATTTCTAAACTCTCTTCTCAGATCGACCTGTGTTAAACACTAGGTCGGAATTAGGGCACCCCTGTTGCGATAGAACGTTCCAATGAACAAAATGACCAAAAAACTCCCGTGCGTTTCGTGAACCATTACGCTTGGGTGCAAGCCGCTACACTCAAGTGAAATACACAGCTGTGCAGCTTTAATCGTTGTGATCTTTATCTGTCAATATTATATCTCATGTTGCGCGGGTTTTTGGTCATATAATCTATTACCAAAGGTCTGTGCGTTTGCATGGAACATAGCACGGAATTAGGGCACCCCCCGTTAACTGTTACCTGAAATCATTGGAATAACCATCCCCGCAAAGAAAAAAAATAGAAACTTCATCTTTACTAAAAATTCTTCTTTATTATCCAAACAGGAATATCCTGCCTTCTATAAATTATGTACATAACAGTAACTACATTCATATTTATCTTGCTTGTTAGAATAAGTCCTACATTCAGTGTAACAATTATGTACAAAATTCAGACTATCCCTTATCCTCAATAAAGAGACAACTATTACAGCCATGAGGTAATGTTATCGAGTGGCAACTGCAACAGTTAATATGAACAACAACAACTACAAAAAAACAGTCATTTTGTAAGAAAGTTACTTAAATCAAACAAAATTCTTGAAGCACTAGCTTGTCTAGTATTTTGGTCTTTTAAGATGCCACTAGTTTTGCATAGGAAGTTTTCACTGTCACTACTTGGCCATAACGAAAATAAAACAATGCCTTTGATTTGAAAACATACATCCTTACAAATACAGTAAGGATAAATACAAAGGCAAGCAACAATTCTCCTAAAACAAATGTTAAAAGGTTAATTGATAGGCACTTCTGTAAACGGAAACTTAACAACTTTGCTGCATTTTTAAAACTGCAACTTAAGAGTCCAGCTCTTCCAGTATATGACATGCCTCCCCATAATTTGTGAAGAGCATTCCAGAAACATGTTCTTTACTTGAAAGATAGAATATATCACAACAACAGTAATTTTACAACAGCTCATACTGTACAATTGGACTACATTCACAACTACCATAGAATTCCTGGCAAACTGACTTTAGTCTCTCTTTTGTACAACTGTGTAAAAATGTCAATATTCTTGTGCCCAATTTTATCTACGAAGCAGATCTCATAGTCATAGAATGGATCCCAGTCATTCTATGCAAAGGTTAGTAATTTTACTAGTAGATCCACTCGGAAAAACAGCGATTTTTTTCAGGCTAAACTACAGAATTTCCATGTGATATTGTCACATGGCCACATGATGATCATGTTGCTACATCTACATAACAACACAAAAGTTACTTACTAATACATGTAACGTTACATGATCCTTAACATATTCAACTGGAGGCATTTTGATTGACTGGTAAAGGCAATGTAAGGTCCAATGAAGTTCTCATGTCAGCAAAAGTCCAATTCAATCTTGTAAGGAACGTTTTAGACTAGGGATTTAGCATAGGTTTGAATATAGCAATCTTGTTTTTGTCCCAGCTTGTTTGAATGTTGAGAGGTGTCTAACAGTGGACTTTGACTTTGATGAACAAGTTGTCATCTTTTGTGTAGCTGCGACTCCAGAGCTTTTCCAACGACACGAACTTGTGGAACCCTCGTCCCTCGCTCATGCTACTGGTCGGTCTCTGGTAGTTGGGCGCGGTGGCGTCGGGAACCAGGGTGTGCGAGATGTGCTCGGCCTTGTTGGAGTCGTCTGATTGGTCCAGCAGCGTGAACGTGATGTTGTGGGGAAACGGCCACTGGAGTACGCTGTCATAGCGGTGCTTCAGGATGTGGAAGTAGATGGACATGTGCGTACCCCGCGTCTCGCCGCCGCCATTGGCAAAGATCTGGATACACATCTTGTACCCGAATCTGCTGGTGTAGAACGGCGGGCTGTATATGGACGGAACCTGCTTGTTGGCCGCCTCTTGGTGCCTCTGGCTGAAGTTGTTTATTCTCCAGAGTAGCGTGCCGTCGTAGCTCGTGACTTCCAGTTCCTTTATCTTCTTCATCTGTTCAGCAATGATGGCTTCTTTCCTCAACAGCTCTGTCTGCAGGAGTTCAATCTTTTCGCTCTGGTTGCAAACTTTCACCGTCAGGCTTTCCAGCTTCCCGTTCTGCGACTTCACGCGCTGGTGCTGACTCGTGAGGAGAGCGTTCTGGTTCTGGATTCGCTCGTTCTGCTCGGCGACTTTGGCGGCTTGCGCCCGCATCTGTCCCTCGTGTTTGGCAAGAGTCTGGTGGATGTCGTTGATCTTCTGGCACAGGAGTCCGAGGTGGTACTGTGGCAAGACTTTCAGGTGTTTGTTCATCTCTGGGCGTTTGGCCTGAAGACAACAGAAGGACACACTGAATTCTTGTAATTAACCTAATGATGACTAGAACAGCCTATGGTGAAAGACTGATAGAAAAGACATGTGATGGTCTTTCCATGGACAAATACCACAACAGCAGTGACATTATAATGGTCACATCTGTTGCACCTAACAAATGTGAAACATGTTGTGCACCGTGGCTGATTTTGTGGCCATTTGTAACAGCTGTTATTTAGACAAAAACACAACATGCCATAATTGCTGATAAAATCATTTATTATTTTCTGACTGGTACTAACGTGGTAGGTCACAAAAATGAGAGAGAAAAAGTTTCAAATACAGGTGTTACAAATTTCATTTTTTTAATCCTGTAGGTGTAACAGCTAATCAGAACTAGTTTGATTTTTTAGTTAGAATGACTTTCGAAAAAAACATTTAAGATAAATATACCTAAGTATGACCTACAAAATTGATTAAGCTATATATGAAATATTATTTGAAAATATTATTTCAACGACTTGACCTCTTCTCTCATGACCTCAATAAAAGCAGCCTGCCAGCCAATTGGAGTATGAAACAACACTGAAACAAATAAGCAAAAAAAAGTTCTGCTGCCTTACCTGAAAAGTGCAGCCCGCAGGCTTGAAGGGACAGGGTAGGACAGACTGCGGACAGTTCCCGCGTACGGGATCCAGGTGCTGCGGCAGCTGACTGCGGGGGACGTCCTTCAGTCCACAGCTGTTGGGACAGTTCACCGGCACAGCGAGGCAGCTCTCGTGATGAAGCTGTGTCAAACGTTACAATGCAATGAGTCTCCTTGTTGTGCAAATAAATAAACAAACAAATAATCAAACAAATTGAAGTATGCCGAGCAGAGACATGTTGTCCACTGTTAGAGACCAACCAAATTTCTTGTTTTTTGTTCAAAATTACTTGCTGTGGCCTAAGATAGCACTTATATATATATATCAATGAAAGAATTTTTTTAAAGGTGAAGAAAACAAAGAAACAAACAAATGTCTACATACCACCATTTCTCTAGATGGAACCTCCTTGGTGCAGTGTTTACATTTCTTGATCTTACTGACGGCCTCCTCCTTCCGTGCTTTCTTCCCTCCTGCCTGACCACAGGCCATGTGGACCATGTCTCTGTATGTACAGGACTCCAGATGCTCCTGGTGGAAAACATAAACATGGCAATCAGAGATGGCAGACTTCACCCCCTTTTATGATACCTTGCCAGCTCTCAAAATCTAGCGTAGAGCATTGTCGGGACCCCCCCCCCCCATGCAGACCCTCAGCAAACAAGCAGCCGTTTTCTGTCAGCGACATTGCATTTTTGCCTCACAGATATCAATATGCTATGGGATAGGGTTGATTCAACTTACATGACCAGAAATTTGACTTTGAAAATCCAGTTTTACTGCCTGAAATCGCTCTGGGAGCCCTTAATTTTTAAACACCTGGCCAAGTAAAACTTACCTGTAAGTCTCGAAGCTCCCCCTTCCAGTCACAGCCGTCACTGCGGAAGTTACACCTGACTGTCAGGGACAAAACCTGTCGACTGAAGGCCACATCCGCAAACAACTGTGGGGAGAGAAAAATCTAAAGGTTAACTTTCTAAAACGAGAATCACTATACAAACAATTTATTGTAAAGCTAGAAAAATAGCATGATCCCTCACAAAATCATATGATCATTCTCTAAAGACTATTGTGAAAAAATATTACATATAAAAAATTTTGAATTAAATTCTGAAATAATTGAAACCAAAGGCTGCAGTTTTATATGGAATGTGCCAAAACAATATGATTAAAAAGCCATTAAAAAAATTCAATTATTTGTGAAAAAAATTTTAAAGAAAAAAACAAGAAAACATCCTTTGCGATAGAAAAGAGTGTGATAAATATGAACATAGATGTGGTAAAAAAGGAAGGAAGTGGCCAAAAGTAGGTGAGGTCCCACCGAGATTTGAACTCGGATCGCTGGATTCAAAGTCCAGAGTGCTAACCATTACACCATGGGACCGGTTGAGTTGCTTCCGCCTGAACCTTAGTACTTGAAAGGTAGGCGTGACGTAGGCGGCATTTTCAATAGGATCTGGTTACGCATCGGAAAGATCACCATTTACATGACCATAGACTGTACATATTC